AACATTCTTGAAAAACCCTCTTTTTACCATTTTTTTTGTTTTGACTTTTGGTGGTACTGGAGTTTGAACTCAGGGCCTTGGATATGCTAGGCAGATGCTCTACCACTTGAGTCACACCACCAGCCCATGAAAAACCCTATTTTCAGTGGTCTATGTGAAGCACTGAAAGCAAAAATTCCAGGGGCAGGAAAGGAGTAGAGACACAAAATTCCAGTCAGAAAATAGATCAGCTGGATTGTGCTTATCCATGTCAGAATGGTCACTGAAGAGTTTTTAGAGGGTAGGGAGGGCATTCACCATCTTCCAATATTTGTGAATATCAGAGATGAAAGATAGATACATACATTCATAATACGTAGATACATAGATATATATCTAGCATACTGGACTTTGGGCATCTCAATACAGAGAACACTGATGAATAGTCCTTAACAGGTTGTCCCATTGCCCCACATGCTTGATCCTTCCTCCAGGTCCTAGAAAACCAAGGAAGGAAGAGCCATAAGTCTTAGAATAGAGGAGCAGAAGAAAAAGTGAAAGGACAAACTCTTCTCTCTTTCTTATAGTAGGTCCCTAGCCCCAAATCAGGCCTGAGCTAGTCAAAGGTGATAGGTGATGATTTAAGTTATCACTTGGTTGAGATTGGATCCTAGTCTACCTGGAAACCAGTCTTGATTAGCTAAGTGGAATTAGACTCATAACCGAAGGTGACCAGTCAGCAGGAAAACGTAAGTTGGTGATTCTGCCATTTGACTTCTAATGAATTCGGCATTACAAAGATAGACCTGCTTCAATGGGACATAAAGCTAAAAATAGTGATTGTAAAATGAATTATTTAACCTGGAATGCTCTTTTGTTTTATCAATAGCACATTTTAATCAAAGTATTTTAATTATACAAAGGGGCTTCATTGTGATATTTCCATACATGTATATAATGCACTTTGGCCATATTTACTCCACTACCCTTTCTACTTCCTTTTTCTCCATTCCCCATTTAAAAATAATTTTTAATGAGTGTCATTATCACATTTTCTTATGTGCACATAATGTACTTGGATTATATTTGCCCCTTCCTCCCCCAACAAACTGGGACACTTTTGAAAGTGAGAGAGTTTATCTATGATTATGCCAGGACAATAGGCACAATGACTGTAGCCCCCTTACAACAAATCATGGAGGGCACTGACTTTATAGGAATGTCTGACAGGGTTTGGGATGACACCCAGCTCCCATGGCACCATCTTGTGAATAGGGGTGATGCTCTGTCCCTCCCACTAGGTTGTAAATTCCTTGGGGCAGAGTTGTGCTCAGTGCCCACTTTGATTTAAGTACATTATCTCATCAGTTTTCTGCTTATCTCAGGCAATCAGTAGATGTAGGCTGACTTCATAAGGGCAGGTAAAGGACAGTTGTGGATTGTGTTTGCAGGGAGGGCCCAAGAGGATAATCATAGTGGAGATCCCATGAAGTCTCTGGGGAATTATAGGGGAAGTGCTGAAATATGGGAGGTAGAACACTAAAATGTTTCCCATATTTCCTGTGCTCTGACCCTATGACACTTCCAAATAGGTTTCCTCACTCTGTCCCCTGGCTCTGCTCCTGGTCTTGTCTCCCAGCTCCCACTTTGCATTTCTTTTAATTGTAAGCTTGGGAACTCTAGTTCCTGTGCAGGCATTTGTGGGCTCTCCTGGGAATTGTTTGGCTTCACTTGCTTCACTTGTGTTAAGTACTTGAGTGGCCAGTGGGAGATAGTTCTGTAATTCAGGTGAGAGGCAGGTGCATTGTGAAAGATGGGTAAGCATCAGTGCATGAGATCAGATGCATAGAGCCTGGATTTGACCCAACCTGCCTACCACTATCTCCTTGATTAAGTCTCCTTTCTCTTTTTCCACTTTTGCTGAAAGGAGGCTATTGTTTGTCTTAGCCCCACTGTCTGAGATAGAGAGTCCACAGACTGAGGGTGACATGGGCATCCACAGCCTGGCCAAGGGGTTGGTGGGGACCTGAAGGAGATAAGAGCTAAGGGAGCAGCTACTCCCTTTCTACTCTCAACCAGTAAGTGGAAATAAGAAGATGATGAAATTATTTTGATGTGAGAAACTCCTCCACAAGGTATGTCTACTGAATTTGTTTTCCTACTGGGGATCAACCCAAAGGTGAGTGAGGGTCTTCCTGTCACCCGTTTCCTCTTTTCCTTGCAGTTCCTATTACTGGTTGTTGGTTCATTTCTTCATTGCTATGTGTTTATTGGCATTTCCTTCTCCTCCTTTTTTTTGCTTTTTCAGAGTGTTTCCTTCTTTTTAGCACCTTTTGGTACTTTATCTCTCCACACTCTTGTAGTCCTTTTCTTTTGATCTACTTCTCTCTTTTTCTCTCCTTAATGTCTTATTACCCTTTCTTTTACTCTTTCCATTATCTTCACTGGGCTCAGCTATAGGTGTCTGAGTTGAAGGATGGTTCACAAGCAGGAAAACAAAGAGTAAGTGAAGGTAAAGGAGGAGGAAAGAGAGAGATGAGATAAAAAAGCATAGTGCTTTTCTGTCCCCAAAAGAATATTGTAGAGACAAGGTGGCTTTTCATTCATATTTTATTAGTATGTATTAGTTGTACAGGGGGTTCCATTGAAACATCACTCTCCCTATCATTCTCCCCATTCTGCCCTCCACCTTCTTAAAACAATTTCACTGGGTTTCATTGTTCTGTCTTCATGCAAGTACACAAAGTACATTGACCATATTCACCCTCCTTCACCTTCTCCATTCACTCTCCCCCCTCCCACTGGTACCCATCCCCAAACAGGACCTGCTATATAATCTTGTCTCTCAATTTTAAGTGTATATTAATTGTTCAAAGATGCTTCTCTGTGGTATTTTACACATGCATATATGGTACTTTATTCATGAACCCCCTTCTATTTCTGCTATGGAAACAGCTCAGATGCCCTACAATTGATGAATGAATCAAAGTGGCTTCTGATTTTTTGGAAATTATTAGCATATAATAATTGTACAGAGGGTTACATTGTGACATGTGCTTATAATATATCTTAATTAGATTCACCTTCTCCATCTTTTTCCCTCATCCCCCATCCTTCCTTTCTTAGAACAATTTCATCAGGTTTCATTGTTCTATTTTCATACATGAATACAAAATATACCACCATATTCACCCTCCTTCACTCTTTCTTTATGCCCTTCTTCCTCCCATTGATACCTAACCTGGAACAGAATATATTTTGTAAGGTAGTTTACAAAACAAGAAAAATGAAATCACTAAGTGAACACTCAGCACTCAGCAGAGAGGCCTAAAGTTAGCAGAAAAAATAGCATATGAGGTATTAGAATAAATTCTTGAGTTGTTTTGCATAAAACAGTTATTAGTCACTCATCAAATATTTGTGAGAATATAATATATATGAGGTACTGTTCTAGGATTCCAGGATCATACTATGAGCAAAATTTCTGGCAAGGAGCATAGGCTCTAGTTAGGAAAGCAGAAAAATATTCCATACAAATAAAAAATACAGTATGTCTTATGGCTTTGCATATTACAGGAAAGCTAAGGCAGGAAAGTGACCAGGAATGGAAGAAGGATTTCAGTCTTAAATAGGGAAAGATTTGCTGAGAAGGTTAAGAGGAAGTGAGTGAACAGGCAGAGCATATAGGGGAGGAGCCTTCTGCGAGGAGGTAAGAGCAGGTGCCAAGGCCCCCAGGGCTGGCATGCACCTGCAGTATGGGAGAAACTATATAGGGAGGCTGGTGAGACAGAAGTAGAGGGAATTCTTGGGATAACAGAAGGAAGGGAGTTCTGAGAGCGAATGGAGGGCCTACTTATCCACTTATGAAAGACTTAGTTTTATTCTGGAAGAACTTTGACTTTATTTCCTAAATAGATAGCTTTACTCCAGTATTGTGTGTCAATAGTTTGGGTGAGGGCAAGTTCTGTGAGGGGCCATTATTATCATCTGAGGAAGCAATGATGATTGTGTAGCTACATAGAAGCAGTTAGCAAGAATGAGAAGTTTTCAGGGGTGGGTATGATTGAAAGAAGATCCAGCAATGGTTTTTGATCATCAGGATGTGTTCTTGGAGAAAGCAGGAGGAAGAATGACCTAAGTGATGTGGCTTGAGCGTAACTGCACATATCTAATATTAACTTAGCTAGGAAGGAGGTGAGGACAGGCGCTTATCAGCTGTGAAAAATTGGCATTTGAGGAGAGATATGAAGTAGATGAAAGATAGAAGTCTAAGAATAGAGCATGCCATAGAGGAAAAAAATTGCAAAGAACCAAAGGTGGGAGTGCAACCAGTTCAAGAGAGCACAGAAAGCATTGTGAATAACTCAAGGGATTCAAGGGTATGAGCTGGGAGATGAGGGAGACTGTTGTAATAATGCAACTGAGAGAGGATGGCAGCTTGGAACAGGGTAGTTACTGAGGTGATAGAAAGAGCTAACTAGATTCTGAGAAACCCTGAATCCAGACCTGAGAGATTGCTGATGGTTTGAATCTATGATTGAAAGAAATATTGGAATGAAGATGGTTCCAAGTTTTGGGCTTGGACAAAATAAAGACTAAGGAACTTGCCATGTTGCCATTATTTTTCCTTACCATAACATATAAATTCTCTCTTGTGCAGGAAATGGTCCAAGTACTGTTAAAATACTTTACCAAGTCTATGTGATCACAGCTACAAAGAATCAGTGCCATATGACAATATCAAGATTTTGCCTGCTGAACGAGGGTTGTCCAATAGTCTCATGACTCATTTCAGTTTCTTCTCTTCTTGGCATAGATACATACAAATATAGTTATGTAGTACAATTCTATGATCTGTGTCAGAGATCCTATCATCTCTATTATGAGAAAGAGCATTTTTCTGTACATACCAGAGCACATGTTGTTTAACTCTGATGAGTCACAAAAGATGTATCTGACTGAGGGAGAATTCAGAGATACAGACATGTTAATGTCAGAATTTCTCTGTCCATATTCTCAGGTGACTGCGACTAAGCCATGGGAATATGGTTGAACCAATCCTCTATAGATGGGTTCATCCTCCTGGGCATCTTCTCCCATAGCCAGACTGATCTCATCCTCTTCTCTGCAGTGATGTGGGTCTTCACAGTGGCTCTCTGTGGGAATGTTCTCCTCATCCTCCTCATCTACATAGATCCTCGACTTCATACACCCATGTACTTCTTCCTCAGTCAACTCTCCTTCATGGATCTTATGTTGGTCTGTAACATTGTGCCAAAGATGGCAGTCAACTTCCTGTCTGGCAGTAAGTCCATCTCTTTCGTGGGTTGTGGCACACAAATTGGATTTTTTGTCTCTCTTGTGGGATCTGAGGGGCTCTTGCTGGGACTCATGGCTTATGACCGCTATGTGGCCATTAGCCACCCACTTCATTATCCCATCCTCATGAATCAGAAGGTCTGTCTTCAGATTGCTGGGAGCTCCTGGGCTTTTGGGATTCTAGATGGAGTAATTCAGATGGTGGCAGCCATGAGCTTTCCCTACTGTGGCTCAAGAAATGTGGATCACTTTTTCTGTGAGGTGCCAGCTTTACTGAAACTGGCCTGTGCAGATACATCTCTTTTTGATACACTGCTCTTTGCTTGCTGTGTCTTTATGCTGCTCCTTCCCTTCTCCATCATTGTGGCCTCCTATGCTCGCATCCTGGGGGCTGTGCTCCATATGCACTCTGCTCAGTCACGAAAAAAGGCTCTGGCCACCTGCTCCTCCCACCTGACAGCTGTTTCTTTCTTCTATGGGGCAGCCATGTTCATCTACCTGAGACCGAGGCGACACCGGACTCCTACTCATGACAAGGTGGTCTCTATCTTCTACACAGTCCTTACTCCTATGCTCAACCCCCTCATTTATAGCTTGAGGAACCGGGAGGTGATGGGGGCATTGAGGAAGGGGTTGGACCGTTGTAGGATTGGCAATCAGCCTTGAAGTGCCTGGGTCTTATGCCTGGCTGTGCTGCCTGCTGGTTGTATAACAGAGGTAAGTCACTCACCCTTTGTGAATGTCTGTTTCCTTGTCAATAAATGAAAATCATAACACCAGTCCTACCTCACAGAAATTATTGAGGGATCACTACAGGTGAATCTAAAGCCTCATGAAGGATCAATGCATTGCTATTACTATCATTATTGATTATAACATCTTTGAACTAAATTCACTCTAATTCGTAATTCTTCTTGGTATCTTGTCTTTTACTGAGTGCTTACTAAGTACTGGGCACTGTCCTCTTCCATTTATATATGCTTTGTACATTATTTTACAGATTATATAGGCTAATAAATATGGATCTTAAACAGAAACTTTCTAGATCACAGAAATTGAGTCTCTGTAATTCTTGAAGAGTTCATAGCCTTTTCCATGTTCCATTATAGACTTTAAGAAATGAAAATATATTCCAACTATTTAGAAGCTATGTCTGTAGGGGTCATGTCTTGTTCATTTCTGTATTACCATCACCTGGTCTTGTGCCTTATACATAGCACTTGCTCACAAAAACCTTATAGAATGAGGTAATATCTAAGAAGACATTTGAAAAGCCCTATCCACGTGTCAAACTTGTCTGGCAGCTGCAAATAATTTTAATATTTTAAGTTCTGCAACAGAAAAACAACATCTGTTTTGGAGGATGAAGATTGGAATACAAATAGACAAAACTTGAGCTATGATTTTAAAACTTATGTATTAGTCAGAATCCCACTAGAATTAAACCACAGCAGTTATTTCAACAGATAATTTTTTTTTGCTTATTAGGATGTAGCTAAGGCTGGCCTGAAACTTGTGATCTGTCTCAGTCTTCCAAATGCTGAAATTATAGGCATGTACCATTGTGTCTGACTCAAAAGAGAACTTTTGTGTAATGAACTGCTAACCAGATATTAAAGAACTGAATAGGTAAAACAGGAATATTAGGGATCATAGACTAGCCCAGGTAATGCTGAGGGAGAGGATTAATACTGAAAGCTGGGTTCTCTGAGCTCATACATCTGAGGAGTGAATATAGTCAGCTGGTACCTCTATCTCTCATGGGCCCTGTAGGGTGTCACCTAAACCTCAGAGAAAACTTATCTGTCCTTCCCTGTGGTGACACATCCAGAGCCAAGAGGAAGGAGTGGAGCTTGCAAAGCTGGGACCCAAACTGGATACTGTGTAGTTGGTTCTGGTACCCATAAGAACAAAGAAGGGTCTCTGTTTCAGACCACTGAGAAACAGAAGCTGGTGAGATAGTGCTTTTTTCTAAGGGGTAGGAAGAGAATGGTTCTGGGAGGGTGAAAAAAAATCTACAGTGTAACCAGCTGCTAGGATGAAGAACCACAGATGGGATGGTTTTGACAGGAACAATAGGAAATCATGAATAGTTACTTTTCCTTTCTTCCCAACTCACAACCTCCTTCTAGTTTCCCTATGGCAGATCCTCATGTGAATCTTGATGATGAGGCTGGAGCCTCAGAAACCAGCAGACAGAAGAGTGGGCTTGGAGCTTGGGTGTGACTTTACCAATAGCACAGTCAGCATCACACACACCATTTTACCCATATTTGAACTTCCATTAAATAGCAGCAACTACACAGTACTTTTGCTTAAAATATGTACATGGTATTCTTCAATAGTCATGGTAGCCATCTGAGGGAAAGTTATCCAGTATTCAGTCACAATCTCACCTGAATGTTAGCTACCACCAACAATTGGTTTTTTAAAATAATAAGAGGAAGGAGGAGAGAGGGGAACAAATTAGCTTACGTGGATGTACAAATCCCCCTCCCAACATATCAGCATGCCAAATGATCATGAAGGCATATATTTTATTTTTAGGAGACTATGTTTCTCAGGCTGGCCTTGAACTCCTGGTCTCAAGTGATCCTTCTGCCTCAGCCTCTGAAGTAGCTGGGACAAAAGTCATGCATCACTGCACCAGGCTGTAAAGCCATACTGGATGTTTAAAACAACTCCTCCTCCTCCTCCTCCTCCTTCACCACTTTTTGATTTAGTTATTTTTCAGATAAATTCTTATATTTTGGCCTGGTCCAACCTGGACTGCAATCCTCCTATTTATGCCTCCTGCATAACTTGGAAGACAGGTACCCAGCACCATGCTCAGATATCAGTTGAGATGTGGTTCTCACCAACTTTTTGCCCAGGCTGGCCTTGAACCATGACTTGCCTGATCTCTGCCTCCTGGGTAGCTGGGATTACAGGTATAAGACACTGTGTCTGGCCTAAAACTTTCTTTTTCCACTTCTCATCCTTATGTCCTTCACCCTCAGCTAGAATCTCACTTGTTTGGGATAATTTATTTGGTGTGAATGAATACTCAATGGTCCCTTTGTTGGCTATACTTTTCTATTATATTTTACTCTCAGACATGGAAGCATTGATGGTGTCCAGAAAATCACTTACCTTAGGAAATAGTCCTTATCCCTGAGTTTAAGAACAACTCAGTTTCCATTGGTAATCAGTATCAATCATCCCACCCCATTCCCATAGAATTGCTATCTTTTCTGACTTTTGGTTTACTAGCATGAGGAGTTCAAAAGTTTTAATTCTCATTTGATGGTACCAATATTGTATGTGTGTGGGAGAAATATCACAGATTGATTACTGCATCAAAGCACATAGGATGTTCTTTGAGATAGCACGCCATCTTTTTAATCTTGTTTCTGAACTACATTATAAACGAGTTGGTATCAAAACTGAGGTCAACAGCTTCCGGGTTGTGGAATATGTATAAAGCCAGTCAGTACCATGGACACAAGTCCATTTTTGCCCTTTTTTAGTATGTCATGAGTTTCTTGATCAGAAGCAACAGTGTGCAGAATATCTCGATGATATCTGAGGAATTGTGTACCTGAATGGATAGTGGTGCTGTCAGAGGCATTGTAGGTAAGGAAAGCAAGTTAATATCTACAATAAATGTCTGATCCAGTGAGGTCAAATTGCTTTTCAATTGAGTGGAAGGGATCCAATGTAATTAACCTGCCACTAGGTGGCTAACTACTTCTCCAAAAGGAAAGGTGCCAGGAGCTGAAAGGTGCCAGCTCAGAATTAGGTTCTACTAATGGAAGATAAATATTCAGTGGTAAGTAACTTGGAGGATAAATCCCAGTTGGTATGCCTATTCACAACCTTTGTCCCTACTTCTGCCACCTTGTACATAATAGTCCATTGAATGAGAATAAAAGTTTTGTTTCCAGAACATTTTATAGAAAGTTAAGATAATCAAGATCATTACAGATGACATAATGGAGTAAAGAAATTAATGTCGTTCTGGAGACAAGATTATTAAGGCATACCATTGGCCTTGGAATTGTTTCCAGTGGTCCTTGCAAGAATTATGGAAAAAAAGTACTTCCAAGTTAGTAAGTTGCATCTCAGATGACAAGGGCTGACCTACCAGGTGGACTGTAACTGACACTGTGATTAGAATCACCATCTGATTAGCTTCACAATAACTCACAGTAATTTCCTAAGATCTGTGCATCTTCTGAATAGGTAAAAATTGTGTATCTTTCAAGTTTATGGAGTTGCTAACACCTCTAATTTCCCTGCGGAGGCAGTATTATTTTTGATTTACTGTCCTGATAGGGTATAGAATTTCTGATTTCCACTTGTCTTTCTGTGATAATGGAATTCACTCCTTACTCTACAGTCCAGAGAGTCAATATAGGGGTTCTTAGTTTATTCCAAATCTACATTAAGGATCTGGGAAATAACCGCAGACCTATGTGGACCATTGTGATTTGAATTTGGGCTAAAACATTACCACTGACCCCCATTTTTGCTGGTGGACTACACTGGTGGTTTTGGTCAAAGGAACTATTTAGAGTCAATGTTTAGGAAAAGCTAAGGCCATCTGCATTCATACAGCTTAATTATCAGGATTCAAAACTGGACCTTATATCAAAAAGACTTTACTATGCTGGAAATTTTTGCCTCCAGGAAGATAAAGCTCTAAATCAGAATATAACTTCACTGTTAAATTTTCCTGAGGAATAAACAGTTCACTCAGCCCCCCTTTCAGGACAATAGATGACTCATTTGGCCAAATTCAGTTGCTTATCAAACAATAGTTTTGTCAAGATTCCTCCACAACTCATGCTCTCTGTTATATCCTGGAATTTTGACAAGATCCTTGCATCATAAGAGTCACTTTAAGAAATTCAAATGCTGATACTGGGCTGGGATGTAGCCAGTGGTAGAGCATTTGGCTATTATCTACAAGGCCTATGTTCAATGTCCCACACTGCTAGAAATAAACAATATCCTAAGACTCTCCATATACCTATCCTTGATCTTCCTATTCTGAAATACCACTGCAATTCTCTCAAGATGTTTACCTTCATTACAAAAGTAATACACTTAGTCTTGTTTTATCAGCAGGGTATTTCAGTGAGCTCTTTGGAGGAAGTCAGTACACAATACTTTTTAACGCCATTCCTCCCTCCCCCAGCCAGCTGCTCTATTTTAGTGCAGAAATAACTATTAAGAAAACTATAAATTTAAAAATTATGAACAAAGTTGTTTTTTTTTCCAGTATTGGGATTGAACTCAGAGTGTCACTTGCTAGTCAAGCACTCTATCACTTGAGCTACACCACCAAGTCTTTTGGGTTTTTGTTTGGTTTTCAGATAGGGTCTTGTGTTACCTTTGCTGGGGATGGCCTTGAACTGAGGCAGGCTAGTAACAGGGAAGGAAAAAAGCCACCAATGGACTTGACCCTCTTCAGCAAAAGGTCACTCCATGCTGAATTCCTCTTTATCCCTCCCTCCCCCTTGCACCATCCTTGGTCATTTTATGGTTAGGATTGCAGTTGTACAATTCCCCAAAGATAGGGGAATACCTTGGCAGTTCAGACTGGAAAATGGGTAAAAGGAAATCTGTCTCAATGTGACCTCTCAAATAAAGCCTCTACCTAAGACCTTGTGAATACTGGTCACATCTCATGCATACAATAAAAACCTGGGAATCAGCAAAGCCATGTGCAGAATGCCCCATGTTATATACCAAGACCTTGTCAATCAAACCTGTCAATCACCCTATCTCCTCCTGCAAAAACCACCCAGATTTTTCCTTTAGTTTGCCCTTAAAACTTATAA